TTGCCCAAGTCTCTTAAAACATACAAAGAACACATAAGTATGAAAATACAATGCCACTGGTTTCACTGATGACACTTTTTTTTTTTTGAGAAAACAAGAATATTGATAAATGGAAAGCCTGGATTTCAGAAATGGTGTTTGTATGATTTCCATTAAAAACGTCTTCACAGAGAACTTCAAGGAGTCTCACATGTCCCAGGCCTGTCTTTAAGAGACAGAATCAATAAGTCACTTTAATGTCTTTTACATTTTCTTCCTACTGGTTGTTTAGAATAATTGCCAAGCTATGGGCTTATGTGAGCACTCTGTCCGTCCTAGGAAAAGTAGTCAGGCAGAAATGTCTGTCTCCCTGGTACTGAAGAGGGAACAGACTCTCGGAGAATTATCCGCAGATAATCCGAGAATTATCTGCATCATCGTGCATCCCCTGCCCACCTTTCCCTCAGTCTCATATAATCCAGACCAGGTAACTCACATGAAAAAAAAAAAAGACAAATGTTGCAAAAATGTATTCTTCTTAACTCTCTTTTCTCTAATGATCAGATAGTGAAACAAATGAAACCAGAATATCTATTCTGAAGAATCTGCATTCTCTTTATGCTATTATCCAGATAGATACTTCACACATGGACAACACAAAAAAGATGGTAAGGTCATCCAGACATTTTATAAACAATAAGTCAGGACTATAACAAAAGACCCAGAATAAACTCAGACAGTTAAAGCCACCTACGTCAATAGCACACATTGGAGAAAAGACAAGTTTCAGTTATAGTGCTGGAAAACTATATTCCACATGGAAAACAATGAGACTAGATCCACATCTCTCACCCTGAACAAAATTCAATTCAAAATAGATCAAAGATCTTAATGTACTACCTGAAACTTTAAAACTAATTTGAAGAATTTCTGAAAAGAACTCAAATAGCAGAAAATAATAACCAAGAATTAACAAACAGGATTAAATGAAATCAAGAAAATCTTCAACACAATAGAAACTTCTGAGCAAAGAAAGCAGCCTACAGAATGGAAAACTTTCTAAGTTTCACATCAGACAGAGGACTAATATGGAATATATATATATATATATATATATATATATATATATATATATTTGAAAGATGATCAACATCCTCAAACATCAGCAAAATGCAAATTAAGACAGCTTTGTGTTTCCACCTCACCCTAGTCAGAATGTCTGTGATCAAAACCAAAACCAAAACCAAAACCAAACCCAAAACACCAAAACCAATGACAGTAAGTGATGTTAAGTTTAGGAAACACCTCAATTCTCTTGGTGAGAATGTAAACTTGCAGAGGCACTATGGAAGTCTGTATAGAGCTGAAAAAAAAACCCGAAAATAGTTGGGGCTGGATAAATGGCTTAGTGGTTAAGAGCTGTTCTATAGGACCTGGGTTCAGTTCTCTGCAGCCACACAGTGGCTAACAGTCACATATGACTCCAGTTCGAGGAGATCTGATGCCTTCTTCTGGTCTCACAAGAGCCAAGTAGAAACGGCCTAGATGTCTATCAACAGATTTAAGAATAAAATGTGGTATATATGCACAATGGAATTTTATGCAGCTATAAGAAAAATAAAATCATGACATTTACAGGAAAATGGAAACAACTGGAAATCATTATGCTAAGCAAAATAAGCAGACTGGAAAATACTGTTTTCTCTCATATGTAGAACCCAGATTTGACATTATTCATATGTATTCAGTTATGTATGTGTTTATACACACATATATTATATATATATATATATATATATATATATATATATATATATATATAT